CTTTCAGAGAGGAAACATGCACTCCTTGAAGTGCAACATTTTTTGATTTTTTGGAGTCATTTTCTTCCATATTCAATTCCATCTCATAGGTTTTCAGTTTTCCTACAAGCTTACCAAGCTTAATTTCATTTAAATTTTAGATCTCCATGATTGCGGTTTTCTTTGCTCTAAACCTAGATGGTAGAACACGAAGAATTTTCTGAACAACAAGAAGCTCTTCAATAGGTTGACCTAGACTCATGGCTTCATTTGTGATTATCTCAACTCTCCTATAGAACTCAGAAATAGACTCAGTTTCAGACATCCTAAGTTCTTCAAATTGTGCAAGCACCATCTGAAGTTTTAGGGCATGAACCACCCTTAGTTTATCCCAAGCTTGTTTAGCATTAGGGATGTGTTGTATATGTGCAAATTGTGTGCTAGACAAAGCTGTAACTAAGGCATTTCTGGCCTTCTTGTTCAAATATGCACCAAACACCTCAGCTTCAGTCCATTCTGACCTAGGCTTGGGCACAACCTCACCCTCAACAGTCTTAACCGGAGCAACCCACTCTTTTATGAGATACCCACTTGCATACTCATCAAGAGCATCAAGAAATATCTCAAATTTTTCTCTCCATGTAGCGTAGTTATTGCCGTCAAAATAGGGAGGGGAGTTGCAAGATCCAGCAACTCGATCCCTTTCCATAGTGAGCACACCTAAACACCAAAACAAATCCTAGGATCTCTCTATTTGTGTTAAGAGCTGACGCTCTGATACCAATTGAAATTGGTACCATATCATGCCACAATGTACCTGCAACCCTAGAAGATTACTAGTGACAATCTAGGCACTCAGAAGGACCCGTTAATCTAGGCATCCCCTGTGCTAGCAACAACTATGGTGAAAGTGTGAAATCATCATAATCATGCAAACATCAAACAGCAGATAAAGATGACTAGTCAACCACCAAGAACACAAACCCAGAAAAATTACAGATATACAAAACAGATTTTGTTCACCCAGAAACCCACCATTGGGAAAAACTGGGAGTCATCAACCGACCAGGCACTGCACTAAGTAGAAAAAAGATTCTTACAAAGGAAACACAAGCAAGCTCAAGATGCACCTAGGTCTATTTAGGAATATGAGGCTATACATCTTTTGTGCAATCTTCTTCTCCAACTTAGCAAAGCTTGAAGCTCAATTCTTCATGGCAATGGCAGCTCCTTCTCCAGCTCGTTCATCCCTTGGCACTAGCTTGCAAGCTCCAACACAGACCGAAACCAATATTTGGATTCAAAGGAGAATGACCAATTTCTTCAAGAAACCATACTCTTGAAGAAATCAGTCTTGAATCTGACCTAGATATAAATGAGAGATGATTTAAATAGCTAGATGCAGATTCGGGTTTCAAAAGCAGTTTTTCAAAAAGAAATCAATTGAAAAAACTCATAGATGAAATATATGGTTCTCTCTTGAGGAAGAAGAAGAGAAAGAAAGCAAGGCAATCTTTCCAAAACTTCCACACGAAAGAGACAGCAGCCAAATGACCAAAAACGTAGCCTTTACAGCCAAAAAATTCCTTAGGTCAGAAAACACAGATGGCAGCAGAGAGAGAGAAAGAGGAATATGACAAAACAGTTTGTTATCTAGCTGGAAATCCTACAGAGCAAGGATGACTAGTCATCATTTTTATGAAGACTGTTTTATGAAATGATATGCAATGCACAATACCTTTGTCAACTGGCTTGAACCTCCATAGAGCAGAAGTTAGAGAAGAGCACCAAGAAAGGTTTTCCTTAATCTAAACTTGAGCTTGATAAATAACAAAACACATCCTATTACAAAGTTGTCAAGGGAAGCCAAAAGAAAATAGTAAAAACCATACATTAACATTTCTTACCATCGATACTTGCACAAACATCTTTCTTTTGTTAACTCCATCAATTGAAGTGTAGAACCTTCCTCTTTTGCAGAGGCCAACAGCGATCCTCGATGGCGTGAGGCAATGAACTCCGAACTTGCTGCTCTTGTTGACAATCACACTTGGACCCTTACTCCTTTGCCTCATGGCAAATTTCCCATTGACTGCAAGTGGGTGTACAAGATCAAACACCGTGCTGATGGTTCTACCGAGAGCTATAAAGCCCGCCTTATTGCCAAAGGTTTTACTCAAACAGAGGGCCTGGATTATCATGAAACTTTTTCTCCCACTGCCAAGATGATCACAGCTCGTTGTCTTTTGGCTGTTGCCGCCAGTCAACACTAGGTTATCCATCAACTTGATGTTCATAATGCCTTTCTCCATGGTGATTTACATAAGGAAATCTATATGTCTCCTCTTCCTGGTCTTCGGTGACAGGGGGAGAATCCCGTGTGTCGCCTCCACAAATCTCTCTATGGACTGAAACAAGCTTCTCGACAGTGGTTTGCCAAGTTTACTAAAGCCATCCTTGCTGCTAGTTTTATCCAGTCAAAGGCCGATTATTCTCTCTTCACCCGCAAAGATGGCAAGTCTTTTACAGCATTATTAATTTATGTTGATGATATTCTGATTACATGAAATGATATTGATGCCATTAATTCTCTCAAAAGTTTTCTACACACCCGTTTCCATATCAAAGACTCCGGCGATTTGAAATATTTTTTGGGTATTAAGTATCCCAATCCAAGAAAGGCATTTATGTTTCACAAAGAAAATATGCACTTGAGATACTCAAAGATTATGGGTTCTTAGATGCTCGACCAATTGACTTTCCAATGGAGGAAGCCAAGCTTTCTGACAAAGGTGAACTGCTCAAAGATCCCGAAAAATACAGACGATTGGTGGGACAACTGCTTTATCTAACTATTACCCAACTAGACATCACCTATTCGGTACATGTCCTAAGCCGTTTCATGCACCAGCCACAATTACATCACATGGATGCTGCTCTTCGTGTTGTTCGATATCTCAAGTCTACTCTTGGTCAAGGTTTGCTTTTTCAGTTTGATAACAAGTTAGATTTAATTGCTTATTCCGATTCGGATTGGGATGGTTGTCCCATAACCCGCCGTTCAACTACTGGATATTGTGTATTCTTGGGTAATTCATTGATTTCCTGGCGAGCAAAGAGACAAAGGATGGTTTCATTGTCCTCTGCAGAAGCCGAATATTGGGCCATGGCAAGCACCTGTTGTGAGGTTACTTGGTTACGTTTTTTGTTGCAAGATTTGTACTTGCCATCTTCAGAAGCATCTCGTATGTATTGTGATAATCAGGCAGCATTACATATAGCAGCAAATCCAGTCTTCCATGAGAGAACACGACATACTGAGATGGATTGTCATTTTATTCGTGACAAAATACTTGATGGCACTGTTTCTACATGGCATGTGAATTCTTCGCAACAACTAGCTGATACATTTACAAAACCTTTGGGCAAGGAGAAGTTTTTAGCTATGTTACGCAAGTTGGGCGTTCTGGACATTCACTCTCCAACTTGAGGGGGAGTGTTAAAAAGTAAATGTATTTTAGATAGGAAAGAATTTGTAATTGATTCATATATCCAATCCTTCCCTTAGATGGAATTCCTAGATTGTAGGATTCCTTATTGTACAAGGAAAACTCGTGTATCTATGTTATTAATAAAATATTCATTCAAGCCAAATATATTTTTCTACAAGTACTAGGGACGATGAGGAATCGCACTTTGTTTTCATTCTCATATTATTTGGGGCCGAAAAATTAATCTCCCATCGAGCTCACTCCACGCTGCAACACAACAACAAAACATAGCAAAATCAATAAAATACTATCATTTTTTTCTTCATGAGAAACATGTATTAGTTAAAAGCCAAGTTAATTTGGAGTTTCGATGACATGAAACCGTTACATCAAAACGCAATGGTTGGCAGTCAAATTAGATTAAATTTTGATGCAACCCTAGTTGAGTACTGTGGGGTTTTTGATACGTACTTAGTGCAGTTGGGGTTGGGTCTAATCTTGTAAGGAACATTGACTCCACACTTGGCGGGAAGCTCTTCTGCCATGGTTGGATTAACTCCGGTCAAGCTAGAAGCATTATGTTTCAGACAATTGCAAATGGTCCGGCGCTCAGCGGTGGTTCTTCCCAAGTCATTGAGGTTGCTAATTCCTCTGCAACAAGGTTTAGGGACAGCTCCGCAATTCCTCAAGTAGTCTAGGCATGGAACGAGGTTGCGGGACACTTGGTCACATGTTATGGCATAGGCTATGGGTACACTCACCACCATGCACAAGGCCACAAACACAGCAAGCTTAATCAATGCATAGCTAGCCATAAATAATGACTTTGATGCTCAGAGAAAAAAAAGTGTATGAAATGGATCAGTAATATCACTTGATTAGTTTGGGGACTTTGGGTGAGTAGCAAGGTAACATAGTCCCGTGATTTATATAGAGAGGAAATTGGGTGAATGGAAGGTCAAGTGACAAGACTTATCATTGGATTATTGGATGAATATGTTGGTGCTGATGAGTAATTTCTAAGTGAAATTTGTCACACTATCATATAGTGTTACACTTCACTCGTTATGTTTTATCTATTGATATTATATTTATAAACTCGTTATCTATGGCTAGCATGTGCATTAATGTATACGTATTACATTAATTATTATTATATGATGGTGAATATAATTATCTTGGTAACATGGTAAAAGAAAATGTAACCATCTCTTAAACACATGTGAATTCAGGTGGGAACAGAAAGTTTACATGAGCCAAAACATGTGCGTATGAGTTGGGGAGAGGGAGTCGGTGTTACAGTTGAGTCCCTTAAATGCTGTTAGGCACAGATTGATCAAACTTAACTATAGCCTAAATAATCTGCGCAATTAAGGTGCACCGACCATCATGCACATGACCAATATACAGCCTACCATCTAGCTTCATTGGCCCGGTTGGTCTATAAGATTCAGATATTTACCACCATAAGCCCTAGTTCCCCATTTTTTTAGAACACAATATATGCAAAGAACCACTAGTGTAGTGGTTTGAAGTATTTATTTTATTAAGAAACGGAGCATTTACTTTATTAAGTAACGTCATGAGTTCGAGCATCCATGTAGCATGTGTGAGTTTAATATACTATCGTCTATCTCAATAAGAAAAAATAACACAATATACCAATAATTCATTTTTTGGATTTTCTCAGTAAAAAATCTTGCGAAAAACCATAATTTAACAGAGAATTGAATTATTATTCAATGAGCACCATTCCGTGTGGGTCCAAACCCACGTGAGGCAGGCATTCTTGTACTGAACCCTTACAAATATACACGTCTTAATTTGTATCTCAAATGGACTTAAGCAAGCTAGCTTTGTTTTTGTTTTTTTTTTATATAAATATTTTCTTAGATTATTAGGATTGAGGAAGAGGGATCTGAATAATTATAGGAAAAAAGAAGAGCAAAAAACATCATTACTTAAACATAAATATTATTAGTTATACAAAGATAAAGATTACATAGATTAACTTATCGATTCCGCCATGAGGAATCCCTAAGTGGATCACATAGCCACATTTTTATTCTCACTCTCTAATATTATCTGCGGCCGAAAATACTTGTCTCATTTCATTGATATCAAGCTCACTTCACGCTGCAACACCACAACAAAACACACCCAAAAGTCAGTCAATTGTCAACAAGCTAGACCAAAATTTCGTTAATATGAACCATTGAATTTTGATCAAACCTACAAAAACTAAAACTTGGAGTTCTTTTTATTTTTAATACGTACGCGGCGCAGTTGATGAAGGTGTTAATCTTGTAAGGAACATTAACTCCACACTTGCCGGGAAGTGCTGCGGCATTGTTAGGGTTGACTCCGGAGATGCTGCCGGAAAGCTGTTTCAGGCAGTTGCAAGCGGCCTGCCGGTCAGCGGTGGTCTTTGCCAAGCCGCTGACGGTCCTAATGCCTTTGCAGCAAGCTGGAGGCACAGCTCCACCGCCTTTCACGTAGGGTATGCATGGTGCAAGGTTGCTGGACACTTGGCCACATGTTATGGCTTGAGCAATGGGCACGCTCACAACCATGCACAAGGCCACCACCAAAGCAAGCTTAGTCATGGCAGAGTAAGCCATCTCTCTCGACTACGATGATCCAAGAAAAAAGGAGTTTGAAATGGATTTGTATAAGCACTTGATTTGAGGAACTTGAGAGTAGTGAGTGGTATGGCACCATGCTCTTGTGTTTATATAGAGAAGAAATTAGGTGAATGGAAGGTAGAGTGACCACTTTAATGTAATAAATGAATTATTGATGCCTATTTATTACATCTATTATTATTATTAATTGTTACATTAAAAATAATATTATATTATAAATAGATTCATTCTAACATGATAATTTATACACACAAAAAACCTCTAAAAATAATGCTAATACGATGTAAGTAAAATATTTTTATTTCATATTATATAATTGAGTTATTCATCATACTAATTCTTGTCTTTAAATTCATAGTCGTGCAACATAAATTAGATAAGGTAAAAATAAATTTCCCCACAGTTGTTAACCTTTTACAACAAACGTGCAGTTGTGAACAAAAAAATTACACATGACCCCAAAAATATGTGTAGGATGGGAGGGAGTCAGTTGGAAAAAAGAAGTCACCTTGTCTATAGCCTAGGTTTGCCAAACTAAAGGTCCGTCTCTCTGGGTGAGCTATGATTTTATTTTTTTAGCTGGAAAAAAGAAGCCACCTAGGCTATAGCCCAGGTTTGCCAAACTAAAGCTCTGTCCCTGGCCTGGTCCTCTAGCAGTCAGGTGGCTTATGCATGGCAACATGGCTGCAGTCACATCGCTACACGTTATGGCCTGGGCTGAGGGGGCACCCACCAACATGCGCATGAGCAACACAAGAACTGCTACCTTCGTTGGTGCACCAGAGTTTGCCATATTCGTTGTAACTGTCCAAACGTTCGATCACTTTCATAATAAAGAGGTCTACAATTTGGATTGGTAAACAAAAACGTGGCCTAACGTTTCAATCCATGACCAACAGCAACCAAAGGTTGTAAGTGATCTCGAATTTTCTTGAAGGGCCGAGGCTTAGCCGAACCGTTATTGACATAGCCCAATATGGCAAGGCATTGGGTCGGTTTGGGCTGTCATCGACAGTGTGAGTTGGTCCAATTGGTCTGTGTGTGTAATGATCATGAAAGAAAATGGGATAAAGCAGTTTAACTTTAATCTATCTTCACCAATTGACAAATTATTTTTTCCGTTTTGTCTGAACTCATTTGTTAATTGTTGATGTTATTTTGTCGCCTGAACGCCTAATTATAATTATCGATAGGAAGAACTTTCCTATTGAGATAGGCGATAGCAATCCACCATTAACTATTGAATTCAATTTGATAGAAGTCCAAAATTTGTTGCTCAGATGAGCTACTTTTGCTATTTTTTGTTTCGTTTTTTATTCAACTCTTACAAAAGGAAGGGAGAGTCAAGTAAAAAAGAAAAGAGAAGAACATTTCTTTTATTATAAATTCCATATAAGTATTACAATATTCATCACCATGTGGATGAAAATCGAAGTATTAGGGACGATGAGGAATCACACTTTGTTTTCATTCTCATATTATTTGGGGCCGAAAAATTAATCTCCCAAGTCATTGAGGTTGGTAGAGGCATTCTGTTTCAGACAATTGCAAATGGTCCGGCGCTCAGCAGTGGTTCTTCCCAAGTCATTGAGGTTGCTAATTCCTCTGCAACAAGGTTCAGGGACAGCTCCGCAATTCCTCAAGTAGTCTAGGCATGGAACGAGGTTGCGGGACACTTGGTCACATGTTATGGCATAGGCTATGGGTACACTCACCACCATGCACAAGGCCACAAACACGGCAAGCTTAATCAATGCATAGCTAGCCATAAATAATGACTTTGATGCTCGGATAAAAAAATGAGTACGAAATGGATCGGTAATATCACTTGATTAGTTTGGGGACTTGGGTGAGTAGTAAGGCAATATAGTCTGGTGATTTATATAGAGAGGAAATTGGTGAATGGAAGGTCGAGTGACAAGACTTATCATTGGATCATTGGATGAATATGCTGGTGTTGATAAGTAATTTTTGAGTGAAATTTGTCACACTATCATATAGTGTTACACTTCACTCGTTATGTTTTATCTATTGATATTATATTTATAAACTCATTATCTATGGCTAGCATGTGGATTAATGTATACTTATTACATTAATTATTAATATTATGGCGAGTATATTTATCTTGGTAACATGGTAAAAGAAAATGTAACCATCTCTTAAACACATGTGAATTCAGATGGGAACAGAAAGTTTACATGAGCCAAAACATGTGCGTAGGAGTTGGGGAGAGGGAGTTGGTGTTACAGTTGAGTCCCTTAAATGCTGTTAGGCACAGGTTGATCAAACTTAATTATAGCCTAAATAATCTGCGCAGTTAAGGTGCACCAACCACCATGCACATGACCAACATACAGCCTACCATCTAGCTTCATTGGCCCGGTTGGTCTATAAGATTCAGATATTTACCACCATAAGCCCTAGTTCCCCATTTTTTAAAAACACAATATACATGCAAAGAACCATTGGTGTACTAGTTTGGAATATTTACTTTATTAAGTAATAAATTCGAGCATTCATATAGTATGTGAGTTTAGTATATTATTATACATAATATAAGAATTCAAATTATAAAAATTATAATTTAATAGAGAATTGAATTATTATTCAATGAGCACCATTCCGTGTGGGTCCAAACCCACGTGGGGCAGGCATTCTTGTACTGAACCATTATAAATATACACGTCTTAATTTGTATCTCCATGGAGTTAAGCAAGCTAGCTTTGTTTTTGTTTTTGTTTTTGTTTTTATAAATATTTTCTTTGATTATTTAGTAGGATTGAGGAAGAGGGATTTGAATAATTATAGGAAAAAAGAAGAGCAAAAAAGAACATTACTTAAACATAAATTATATTAGTTATAGAAAGATAAATATTACATAGAATAACTTAACGATTCCGTCGTGAGGAATTCCTAAGTGGACCACATAGCCACATTTTTATTCTCACTCTCTAATATTATCTGCGGCCGAAAACACATCTCCCATATCAAGCTCACTTCACGCTGCAACACCACAACAAAACACACCCAAAAGTCAGTCAATTATATAATGTTCCGCATTTAATTGTCACCAAAATTTCAACGATCCACATTTAAAAAGTTAGGTTTTGAAATAATGTGAACCGTTGAATTTTGATCAAATCTACAAAAAATTAAAATTTGAAGAGTTCTTTTTATTGTTAATACGTACGTGGCGCAGTTGGTAGAGGCGCTAATCTTGTAAGGAATATTAACTCCACACTTGCCGGGAAGCCCTGCGGCATTGTTAGGGTTGACTCCGGAGATGCTGCCGGAGAGCTGTTTCAGGCAATTGCAAGCGGCCCGGCGGTCAGGGGTGGTCCTTGCCAAGCCGTTGACGGCCCTAATGCCGTTGCAGCAAGCTGGAGGCACAACTCCACCTTTTCTCACGTAGTTTATGCATGGTGCAAGGCTGCTGGACACTTGGCCACATGTTATGGCTTGAGCAATGGGCACGCTCACAACCATGCACAAGGCCACCACCAAAGCAAGCTTAGTCATGGCAGAGTAAGCCATCTCTCTCGACTATGATGATCGAAGAAAAAAGGAGCTTGAAATGGACTTGTAAGCACTTGATTTGAGGAACTTGAGAGTAGTGAGTGGTATGGCACCATGCTATTGTGTTTATATAGAGAAGAAATGGGGTGAATGGAAGGTAGAGTGACCACTTGAATGTAATACATGAATTATTGATGCCCATTTATTACATCTATTATTATTAACAATTGTTACATTAAAAATAATAGTATATAATAAATAGATTCATTCTAACATGATAATTTATACACACACAATACCTCTAAAAATAATGCTAATACGATGCAAGTAAAATATTTTTATTTCATATTTTGAAATTGAGTTATTCATCATACTAATTTTTGTCTTTAAATTCACAGTCGTGCAACATAACTTAAATAAGGTAAAAATAAATTTCCCCACAGTTGTTAACCTTTTACAACAAACGCAGTTATGAACAAAAAAAAAATTACACATGACCCCAAAAATATGTGTAGGAGTTGGGAGGGAGTCGGTTGGTGGTTGGGGTGGATTTAATGCTTGGGGTTCAAGTTTTAAGATTGCAGTTGGGTCCCTTAAATGCTCTTAAGCACAAATTGAGCCTAATGACATAAATGATCCCCCCAACTAACCACCTACATGAAAGAGAAGGCCAAAACAAAGAGAAAATGATTCGGAAAATGCTAGGGAGACCCAACTTTAGATACTAACTTGTGTATCATCTCTCTAATAGAGCATGAGACCCATTGTATTGGTGGACTCCACCTCTATTATAAAGATGATACACAAGTTGGTATCTAAAGTTGATTTCTCTAACATGACTCAAATGATCCCCCATGGATCATGACTATCCCAAAAGGGTAAAACCAGGATAATATATCATATTAACCTTGGATAATGTCTTCCCCCAGTTTGGCTTGGCACCTCAAACTTATCTCTGATCAAAATAGGGCTTGCTGGCAACTTAGTTGGGTGCACAGTCAAGGTCGGGGTCCCATGATATTAATGTGAATTGGTGCATACTGCATAATTGATTTGTTTCACTTAAATGTTTCTTGTTGACATTCGAGTGTACCAGACCCGTGTCTCCCTGCCATTCGTGTTTGCTCCAAAACCAGGTAAGAAAAAACTTTTGGTCATCAAAATCTATTGTTTTTATGTTTGTAAAACGAGGCAAATTATTTAAGAACCATCTCCTTCATGGTAAATCCGTCCGACTATTCAGCTTTCCATCTATTTGTTCATGCACCCACTCTCTTGAACAAAAAGCTTTATCCAAATATTGCAATTTGTAATTTGTTAGAATATATTCTTTGAAAACCTCAACTTTTAAAACAAGAAATTTATTTTCGGTACTCATCATGACATTTCATTTGATTTTATTTAAGTTTCTTGACCGTTGGATTGGATAGGATCAAGGTCTAAAATATCGAGAGTTTCAGAAATATTAGTGGTCAAATATCACGGATATATTCATGGAAATATCGATATCGATAAAAATTGAATAAAAATCACGGAAATTGTGAGACAAACTTGTAAATTTTTATTGAAACTTTAGAAGATGTTTATTTAGTCAATTGTCTATTATTTTATCACAAAAAAATTGGAATAGAATGCATGGCATGATGAGTTTGAGTGATTTAAGTTGATTATATAGCGACATGACAAACACTGTGTCTTTAAAAAATATGTAGTAATTAATGAAAGAAAATTAAACACACCATAATTTTTTAGTTATAATAATTTACTATAATATATTACATATGATAAGATATATGAGCTTGACAAAAAAACAAAAATAAAATATATAAGTAACTTAGTACCACATAGAAACAATTCATATTAAAATTGAAACTTAGTATCACATATAATGAACAATATTAAAACTCAATAGTGAATAATAATACAACTCCATAATATATAACAAAAAATAAAATACAACTCCATAATAAAATAATAAATAATATTAAACATATGCCTAAATTTATCCTTAGGGAATTTTTTTTTTTAATGGAAATTTATCCTATATAATATTAGATTGCAGAAATTTTAAAAGCCATATAAATATTACACGTCATAGCTTTATTAAGAAACTCATCTGCATCGTGTTGGATAAGGCTCAGTAGGTGGATGGGAAAAAGAGGGGTTTGAATCCCTTTGTGTGCAAGAGCGCGATTTCTCAATAATTTTCATTTATTGTTCAGTTTCATATCGCAATATTATCGATAATATCGCGATATGTTGCCCAAATAATGCATGAGCGAATAGGAAATTATCACCTCCGACATTATCGCAATATTATCGACGAAAATATCAATGTGTGGTGTTCATATAGCGAAAAGATGAATACTAGCAACCTTCTCTCTAACCTTCTTCTTTGGACCATCTCTATTTTTTGCTTGACATATGTCATTCTCCTTGCACTTAAAACAATGTCATTAATATATTATATAAGCTAACTTTTGTTTTCCAAGTTTACCCTTATTAAATTTATTCAACTTATCCAAAAAAAATTCACAACTTTCTTACCATCTTATTTTATTTTTATTAACATCAAATTTTTTTTTTAAAGAAAATATTTGTTATGGGGTGGATTTAATGCTTGGGGTTCAAGTTTTAAGATTGCAGTTGGGTCCCTTAAATGCTCTTAAGCACAAATTGAGCCTAATGACATAAATGATCCCCCCAACTAACCACCTACATGAAAGAGAAGGCCAAAACAAAGAGAAAATGATTCGGAAAATGCTAGGGAGACCCAACTTTAGATACTAACTTGTGTATCATCTCTCTAATAGAGCATGAGACCCATTGTATTGGTGGACTCCACCTCTATTATAAAGATGATACACAAGTTGGTATCTAAAGTTGATTTCTCTAACATGACTCAAATGATCCCCCATGGATCATGACTATCCCAAAAGGGTAAAACCAGGATAATATATCATATTAACCTTGGATAATGTCTTCCCCCAGTTTGGCTTGGCACCTCAAACTTATCTCTGATCAAAATAGGGCTTGCTGGCAACTTAGTTGGGTGCACAGTCAAGGTCGGGGTCCCATGATATTAATGTGAATTGGTGCATACTGCATAATTGATTTGTTTCACTTAAATGTTTCTTGTTGACATTCGAGTGTACCAGACCCGTGTCTCCCTGCCATTCGTGTTTGCTCCAAAACCAGGTAAGAAAAAACTTTTGGTCATCAAAATCTATTGTTTTTATGTTTGTAAAACGAGGCAAATTATTTAAGAACCATCTCCTTCATGGTAAATCCGTCCGACTATTCAGCTTTCCATCTATTTGTTCATGCACCCACTCTCTTGAACAAAAAGCTTTATCCAAATATTGCAATTTGTAATTTGTTAGAATATATTCTTTGAAAACCTCAACTTTTAAAACAAGAAATTTATTTTCGGTACTCATCATGACATTTCATTTGATTTTATTTAAGTTTCTTGACCGTTGGATTGGATAGGATCAAGGTCTAAAATATCGAGAGTTTCAGAAATATTAGTGGTCAAATATCACGGATATATTCATGGAAATATCGATATCGATAAAAATTGAATAAAAATCACGGAAATTGTGAGACAAACTTGTAAATTTTTATTGAAACTTTAGAAGATGTTTATTTAGTCAATTGTCTATTATTTTATCACAAAAAAATTGGAATAGAATGCATGGCATGATGAGTTTGAGTGATTTAAGTTGATTATATAGCGACATGACAAACACTGTGTCTTTAAAAAATATGTAGTAATTAATGAAAGAAAATTAAACACACCATAATTTTTTAGTTATAATAATTTACTATAATATATTACATATGATAAGATATATGAGCTTGACAAAAAAACAAAAATAAAATATATAAGTAACTTAGTACCACATAGAAACAATTCATATTAAAATTGAAACTTAGTATCACATATAATGAACAATATTAAAACTCAATAGTGAATAATAATACAACTCCATAATATATAACAAAAAATAAAATACAACTCCATAATAAAATAATAAATAATATTAAACATATGCCTAAATTTATCCTTAGGGAATTTTTTTTTTTAATGGAAATTTATCCTATATAATATTAGATTGCAGAAATTTTAAAAGCCATATAAATATTACACGTCATAGCTTTATTAAGAAACTCATCTGCATCGTGTTGGATAAGGCTCAGTAGGTGGATGGGAAAAAGAGGGGTTTGAATCCCTTTGTGTGCAAGAGCGCGATTTCTCAATAATTTTCATTTATTGTTCAGTTTCATATCGCAATATTATCGATAATATCGCGATATGTTGCCCAAATAATGCATGAGCGAATAGGAAATTATCACCTCCGACATTATCGCAATATTATCGACGAAAATATCAATGTGTGGTGTTCATATAGCGAAAAGATGAATACTAGCAACCTTCTCTCTAACCTTCTTCTTTGGACCATCTCTATTTTTTGCTTGACATATGTCATTCTCCTTGCACTTAAAACAATGTCATTAATATATTATATAAGCTAACTTTTGTTTTCCAAGTTTACCCTTATTAAATTTATTCAACTTATCCAAAAAAAATTCACAACTTTCTTACCATCTTATTTTATTTTTATTAACATCAAATTTTTTTTTTAAAGAAAATATTTGTTATAAAAAAAAAAGGAAAGGTACTTTTTTTTTTAAAAAAAAAAAGCCTAAACTTGACGTTTAAAAAAAAGAGAGGAACATTTCCTTTTTTTTTAAAAAAAAAAGCAGACATTTTCTTAAATTTAAAAAAAAATTGACGTTTAAAAAAACCAGATGGTGAAAAAGTTGTGAACTTTTTTGGGATAAATTAAATACATTTAATAAGAGTAAACTTGAAAAGTAAAAGTTAATTTGGTAATATATTAATGACATTATTTTAAATGTAAGAAGAATGACACTTAGAGAGAAGGTGGATAGCATTCCTCGAAAGGAGGAAAAATAGTAGTGGGAGGTTGTGCGTTTCTGTGTCCAGAATTAATGGCACTGACTGTAGACGTCTGGTTTCAATGCCCTCCAAAACGCGTGCAGAAGATGATCGAGACTCGATGTGCATGCATTGCTA